CCCTGTTGCTGTCTGTTGGAGGAAAAGAAGCCTGTCTGGCCTTGAGTTAATGCTTTACTCTTCTGAAATCCATTTTTTTCTAAGGTTCTCACCAAAAGACATTGTTTTAAGCGGAGGCTAGACAAAACTCAAACAGGGGTGCAGCCCTCCCTTGCTGCGTGGGGCAGCCCGGGCAGGAGGCTCAGGGGCAGCGGGATCGTTGCTGGCAGCGGATGCTCTGCCCCAGGGTGGTTTGACCATGCAAAAGAGGGTGGTACATGAGAGCGCTCTGCTAAAGCAAAACCTCGTATCTAGCTCCCCTCCTCCTTTTTCTCTGCCTTTCCTACAACAGCAAACCGGGGAGGTTGTGTAACTCGCTCTTGGCTGTGAACCTCTTGACAAGAGGTTTATGGAAAACCTGCCAATGGTTTAATTTCATTTCCGGGCCGTAGGGGAAATGAAGTCAAACGCCAACTTCAAAGGGAGTCGCTCAGCGTTGGTCAGTACTCGATACCTCCTCCCCGCCTGCCTCGCCTCCTCCAGCTGCCGTCTCCGGACCGCGGCACCGCCGGCTCTGTTCGGAGGTTTTATGAACATGTGCGCGAGCAGGAAAGGCGCTTTCCCATACACGTGCATGGCACTGGGATTTCTCCTGCCTGTGACATGCGATGTAATGCAGACCTGGCTGTGTGTTGCCCCCGCTGTGTTTTACGCCATGGTGTGCAGCCTGTGCTTCCCTGGAGCACGCCGCTCCTCCCCAGGGGCTCTGGAGAGCATCTCCAGCTTTCGGGTCTCAGGCAATGGTTTCTTGGAGCTGTTTTGTCATATCGTATCTACCATGGAAGTGACAGTAGCATTCCTGATGACACCTTTCTTAAAGATCCACGGCCTGGAGCAGAAAGAGTCAGAAACGGAAGCCTGTATTTTCATTGGAAACACATCCCTTTAAAGCGATACCTACTCAGCGGTAGTTGGGACCATCTGTGCTCCTGCGTTCCTCCTGCTAATCAAAAATCCCTGGCTGAGGAACATGAGAAACTGTCTTGCAGCAGTAGCATGTCGGAAGAGGTCGTGCGCTGCAGCAGCGCCAGAACTCCTGCTTGGATAAAAACTGTTTGAGTAACTGGGAGCAAGAATGTGACCATGAAGCTGGCTCGCTTCACCCTGCTGCCACCAAATGCTTGTGAACTGCTGAGTCAGCACCGTGCTCTGGAGTTGGTGGTGTGCCTCGGCTGCACCTCGGGATGGCGGAGCACATGTGTTTCACTGAACCTCTTTGATCTTCTCTTTTCAGCATATTCACAGAGAAAATCTCCCCATTACCTTTCCTTTGGCTTTTGTCACAGGCTGCTACAGTAGTGCCATCCTCTTCCTCGCCTTCCTACCAACTTTGGAGAAGAGAAGAGGATTCCCTCGCTGCAGGGCCCTTAACTCTGGGTTCCTGTCTTTGCTGGAGAATCCCCAGCAGTTTCAGCAGGTCTGATGGTAACATTGTTTTGCGTTCCGTGTCCAGTGCACTAACGCTGCTGTTCTTGTTCCTGACAGTTACAGGGACTGTCCTCTCACTCAGCTGAAACAGAATCGTGTTGCTGAGGGCCAAAAAACCTCTTGCATTTTTCTGAAAGTGCCTGGGCTCCAGTTTCTGCTCAAGGGAGCAGAAGGAGCAGTTTTCAGCACATCTGATTTCCTGAACCAGCGCAGCCCGGGGCCGGGCAGTGCCAAGGCTGGTGTGCAGCGGGGATGGCTGCATGGTGCTGTGCCCTTCAGGCAGGGGCTGAGCAAGGAACTCCTTCAGGCAACCGATCCCCACGCATCATGTTTGGGAGCCTTTCAGGAGGAGGATGTGACCCCAAAAAAGCTCCAGCCTGCAGATGTTTTTTCAAAGTGAGCGTTCAGGCTGCCGCTTTTCCTAGTCCCATGGGTTTGCAAACTTGAATGAATCCCTGGTAAGGCATTTATTTAGCTCAAAAAACCAAAAAACCCCAGACCATCAAGAAATGCCCCATTAATGCACTGCAGATAGAATCAGGCTGGAAAACTCCAGGCTGGACTGTAACAGCACAGCCCGTGATGTAAAACCCATGTGTGCAGCAGGCCAGAAGCCAGGAGCCCCAGGCTCTAATCCCAGTGCTGAGCTCCCCAGCTTGGCTAATAAAACGATAGGAAGGGGGGGGAGGAGAGGCCCATGTTTTCCTGGCCAGGCTGCTTTTACCATGGGCATTAACAGTTTATGAGTCACTAGGCTACTCGGGGCTTCCACGTGAAACGTCTTCCCGAAGCTGCGGCAGCCCCCGCCCCGTGGCAGCAGCTGCGGCGCGATACCCTGGCGCTGCCTGCGCGGCTGCGGAGCTGGGAGCAACGCCGAGCGACTGTCTGGCAATAGGGAAAGCTCTGGGAGAAGGCATGGTAACGCAGACAAGGCAGCGGACGTGTTAAGAAGCCTCTGCAAGTGTAAGTGCTTGTGTGCACCTCCTCTGCTCCGAAACAAGACGTTTCAGAATAGCAGTGGGTCTATGTGATGCAAGTCGCCCTTATTCTCAATTATTCACAAGAGTGTTGCAGCTTTTCCACCCTTGACCCTTTTCCATATCTACCTCCCGTAAGGAACCAGTTGCTGGAAGGTGTGTGCGTTTCCAGAAAGGCCGTCAGCTACAGCACGCACAGAAAAAAGGGGCTGGGTTGTTCTTGGTGGAGTGAGTTTGTTTGGTTTTTGTGTAGGTTTTTTTCCTCTGCTGTGATTAAGAAAAGCTCTTGCTCAACAAGAAGGCATTTGTTAGAGGCATGCGTGTCCTTCATTAGTGGATAAAAACAGTTCATAGCTCTTTCAGGGCTGATAATAGTAAGACTGACCTTTGGACATGTAAGATAAAGAAAAGCTGATCTCTAAGAGAACAAAGGAGTAGGTTCAGAACTGGAATACGTTTCCGGAGCCAGTTACTAGGAAGAAACTGGAAGTTTCATCTCAGGAGCAGGGACCTGGAACGCCAGCTATGGACGCGGACTCAGCAGCTGGGCTATTTTTGGCTTGTGAACTGTTCTAATGGCTGTTTATTTTTAAGGTCACTTTCTGTTTGCATAGCATGTACACCCTTCTGGTGGGTGGGAGGCATTAAAAAGCAATCACTGCTGCACAGAGTTATGAACTAAGCTTGGAGAGGGATGGAAAAAACAGAACTCGCTGTACTTACTGCTTTAAAACCCAAAAACATCTGCTTAGGTCATCAGGTTTGTTGACCTACTCTAAGCTGTGCCCCCACCAGAAAAATACCGTTTCAAATAATACAGACTACTGCAGGGGATTGCACAAGACTTGGGAAAACTCGGTCAGATGATAATATGGCATAAATAGAAAGGAAGCATCAGATTTGGCAATTTTTTTGCACTCGCGCTTACCTTCAAGCAGTAAACAGAAACCCAGAGCGTCTGTCCCACAGCCGAGGAGTCAGAACTCACACCAGCGGATCGGGCCTGAATCCCAGTTCTTGTTTCAGACTCTTGTTAAATAACAACATGCTTTATTGTCCTCTTACTGGCTTCTTCCTGTCGGCCATATCTTTATTCACACACAGTCAAATGATACAAATTCACTGGAACAGTGGCAGTTTACAAAAGACAGCAAGAATGATTACTTTGAACCAAAATTTAAAAAACCCTAAGCCTGGCCATCTGGCAGGCAATGCACTGACTGGAACAGGTCATAGTAAGGGAACGGTTTATGACATTGGCAGCGTACTCCTAGCCATGTTCCTTTTCCAGAGCATAAAATACACAATACAAAAATATACTAAAAGTAATAACGGAGTTTTGTAGAAATGTCTGCTGCAAAACAATTGCTGTTGTCTGATTTTTTCAGTATATTTACTTCCACACTATATTATGATAGAATACTTGAATAAACACCATTTAGTTCTAACTTAGTTGGAACTTTAAAGTTGATCTCAAGTTAACTGTACGGTCTTGGCCTCCAATCCTTGAAGTACATAAAGGATCCTAACTTTGGACTCATGCGACTGACTGACATGAAGTGAGCCCACTAGTGAGCATTCAATGCCTGCGCAGGAGGGAAGTGGAAGCTGAAGTGCTGTACTTCATAGGATCTTAATTTGGGGCATTTTCCTGGATTTTTCAAGACTTTGTTAAAAGTCTTCCCTGGGCTATCCTTTTAACTGATAGGCCTGAGTTCATCAAGTTGCTGGTAATCTCGTGGAACTGCCTGGTTTTGAGATCTGGGTCTCTGCACTTAGTGGAGTCAACTGCGGTAAGTCTCTCCCTCCTTATCTCACTACTCTGTATAATTGTACCTGTCCCTCTCCCCTCTCCTTCCTCCATCCTGGCCTGGTACACCACGATGGCCTCTCTCCATGCAAGAGAGCTGGATGCTCCAGCGCTTCGCTACAGCTGCTCACACCAAGCCTCGTATGAGCTCCCTGCAATCGGAGCACCGTTTCCTTAGTGTTTCCAAAGTTGAGAGACCTGGCTGTAGAAATGGAAGCCCGTGCCGACGTCACCGTGCAGGGCTGAGCGGCTCTCTCCTCAGGGTGGCACGCTTGCAATGAGAATCTGTGGTGTAGATGCCATGCTCATGGAAAACGGCATCCGCAGTGCCCCTTGCCGTGACAGAGGAACGTACTGCTGGAAGTCAAGTGTGTTTAACTCCAGGATTTCTTGCTCCTTTTTCTCCCAAGAACCGATCTCAAAGCATTTGAGAAAAGAAGTTAGTATTGTTCTGTTTTTGCAGACAGGAAGACTAAGGCACTGAAGGGTGAGCTCCTTTGGCCGAGGCTGATCCGCAGGTCTCTGCCACAGTCCGTGCTCTTCACTGAGCTGTTGCTCTCTGTGCTTGCGTTGTATGAGACACGTTCTCAGAGGAGTAAGCCCATCTCTGCTCCCCACACAGACACCACACACAGGGGCCAAGATCCACCTTCCTAGGCATGGCCTCCAGAGAAAACATCAAGAAGGACATGCATTGGAGGCCAGAAGTTGGCTTCCCGGTGTCTAAATGTCACCTACTCCCAAGGTCAGCTATGGAAAGATGACCAGGATACTTCTGAGGTATAAAACTCTGTGTCTGCTGGCCACTGGTCAGCTTTGTCATCATCAGACTTGTCGCTGTCATCGCCGCTGGAGGGTTCATAGCCCGGGATGGCAGAGCGGATCGGCTCTGGCTGCCTGCAATCTGCCTCCGCCTCCTTCTTCTTCTCTGCCAGCAGCTGCCTGTAGCACAGGTTGCAGACCCTCAGGGGCTTGGGGGACAGCCGGGGCATCAGGAACCTCTGCCTGGAGCAGTCTGCGCAGACGACAAAGCCACACTTGCGGCAGTGGTGCCTTCGGGTGAGCGTGGAGAACTTGGTCTGTGTGCAGCGCATGCAGATGTCTGTTGCCTTGTCTGGGATCCAAGGGGCTGCATGCTCTGTGGAGGGCTGCCGGCCCGTCTTCGTCAGCAGGTGCCTGATGCACTCCTCCAGATGGCTGATCCACTCCTTCCTCTCCGTGAGGGAGGCCGCGGAAACTACAAAGGACTTCTTGGAAGTTTTAATCATCCAGCGGTTCTTCATCTGCAAGGTGTCTGGCAGCGTCTCCAAAGTGACATCTTCAAGGGGAATGATGTGCTGGGAATTGTACTTCCTTTTGTTGATGACTATGCTGCCATAGACGAGGATGTCATTGAAAAGGAAGAATATGCGAGGCTTTGGCTTCTTGCGGCATTCTTTGGTTAAAATCCCTTCTCCTAGAAGGACCCTTCCTGGCACGGCTAAGGGCTGTCCGGAAGCCCCAAAGCAGTTTTCCACAGCAGCAATGCGCTGGCTGTTGATCTCAGTGTTTGCAAGATGGTCCACCATCTCCAGCTCGCTCTGGGAAAGGAAAATAAAGAGGGAAGTGGTGAAGCTGCAAACATCTGCACTGGGGTGAGGCTGAGTAGCAAACGTATGCACAAGTGATATGCTCCTAATGCAATCTGAAGTTATGAGTAATCTCCTTACCACTCCTCACTTTAGTTTGTTACCTTTTTAAATTTAATTTTCAAACTTTGTAACTGCATTTTGCAACAGCCCCGTCCCTTTTGGTAGTGGGAGCTAACAGATGCTGGGATAGATGCAGGCTCAGGGAGATGTGTGGTCTCGGGAACAAACCTCCCATTTTTGACTGCACACCTGCTTTCTTGAGGATTACCTACAGACACACGCACCCCACAATGCCACTTTGGGCCAGAGCTGAGGCAGGGCCAAAAGGGCGCGGTATCGCTTGTTCCCACTGGTCCTCCTTGCGTGACAAAAAGGGGAAAAAAAACCCCCAACACACCCAAAAAAACACCCGCTATGTGAATAAACCCACACAAGCCAAGCCCTTCCTCCATTACCCCAGTTACGCCAGGGCTGTCGGTGCTTCCAGTTACAAGACACATCATTCTGAAAACAGTCAGATCTCTGCTGAAGGGGAAGTGGAAGGCAGCATGCTCATCCCTCCCCACACCTCCGTGTCCTCTTTCTCATACAATCTGGGGTTTCGATAGTCTGTTGGGGTTTTTTTTAATAGAAAAACCTAGATAAGGGTAACTCTGAAGCGAAAGCAAATGTTTCCTATTGGCAGTTTGCAGTAAGGAAAGCGCTCCATGCTGTAATTTCAATTTTTCGTTGCACCTAGCCCCTCCTGTGCTGAAGGGTGCTGCCCTGAGGCCGGCTGGCCACGGGAACGTGAGTCATTTCCTCCTCCAGCGAGGTAGCTCAGCCATCACGAGGCGGCTCCAGGATCACAGGGATGTGTGTCGCTCTGGTTGCTGTTAGCGGTTCATCAAATCACTAATGCAGAGCTGCCCTCCACCGTTTTCCCTGTCCTCCTTGTCCAGAGTCCCTACAGCTGTGGAGGCTGGAGGGGAAAGGGAAGAGGAGGACAACATGCCTGGTCCTGTGTGTCTGGGACAATGATGATTTACATTCTTCCCTTGCCCTTCACCCCAAATCACCCCTTTGGTATGCTAGAAGGGAAACCACAGAGCCGCTGCTCAAGGCTGCTGCGTGCTGTTTACCTCTTGCCTGAGCTATCTGGCAGATGGACCAGTCAGTTCCTCCGAGTTCCCAGAATTTTCTTCTCTAGAGCAGGCACAAATCTAAGATGCAGGTTTAGCCCTGGGAGACCTAAATGAAGCAACCTACTCTGCAGAAATAGCTTTCACAGAGAAGTGTCAAGTGGCCAGTGCTCCTGAAGAGCTGGCTTCTTCAGGGTCTCTCTCAAACGAGAGGGAAGGTCCCAAGGCCTCCAACTTCTGGAAGGATATGTGTCTTCAGGGCCTCTAAGCACCAGAATGGATTCGATGGAGTTGGACAGTGTTAAGCATATCCACTCATGTGTGTCTTCTCCAGCATGGAGGGCAATTAATCGCAATGCTCCGACTGGGGGCCGTGCTGCAGCCAGATGGGGGAATCCAGGGGACCAATGCCATCAGCAGCAGCTGCAGAAATGCCCCAACCAACCTCCATACAGACTTGCAGAAGTTGTACAAAGGGATTTATTACTTGTCAAGAGAGGAGAAAGGCTCCGTTCCCCTCCTTGATCTGTCAGCCCAAGTGGACCTGTGCATGGAAGGGAGCTGGTCTGCTGCAGGATGTACATTCAAATCTATTCTGAATGAAAACAATGCAGCATGTGTGTTTTTCTCTCCCTCTTATATACACAAATTAGGCTGAAGAACAAACAGGCAGGGCAAACTATGGTCCACAACTGAACACCAAACTCCCTGACTACGAATACCCAGACTCACCCATCGTGGGATGTGGTCTCTTGAGGTTTCCTACAAACAAATCCTTGGATGAGGAGATTTTGAGTGAAAGAGCAAGATGAGCACACAAAATAATAAAGGAAAAAGAAAACCTGAAATTACAGCTTGGGAAGTTTGGTGTGGAAAGACTGTGAACGCAACAAAATACTGTCAAGAATTTTTGGCACCAGCAACACCAACTGCGATAAACCAAAGCAGTTAATCCTGCTCCCACCAGTCTCGCTTCCTTGTGTTTCTGGGTTATGGATCCCCAGCTCTTAGCATGCTGCTTTTGCTTTTATTTTATGTATTTTAGAAACATGGTCCAGCCCCTCAAGCCAGTATGCTACTTGACACGACTCTATTTCTAGGCACCTCCATGTATTGGATCCCTGTGGAATTGAAAATGTTTTGTAAGCTATAAAGACCGTGCTTGCAAAGAGCCAGGAAACATAAGCTCATTTTCAAAGAGCAGTGCAAGCTTTAGCTGTTGCATTGATTTGGGCCCCTGCATAGGCCACAAAGCTGTTGGACTTGTTGCATGGAGCAAAGGGAGAAGGGGCTGGACGGGGAATGGACACAATCCTGCAACGTGAAAGAAATCAAAGCGGGCTCTCATGACACATCACACTTCCACCTGCAGGGTATGTCCTTATTCCTCCACAGTCTGGTTTGTTATCTAGTTAAAATGCCACAAGTTAACCAAAGAAAAGCTAACTCTGTTCTGGGAAAATCTTCCCTGCCAAGACTAAGAGTGTCAGCTGCTGCTCTAGCCCAGGGTATGTCCCGAAGGAGTTTTCCCAGGGAAGCAAAAGCAGAGCATTTTTCTTCCATCTCTCTCCCCTCAGGCATAAATGACTGGAGAACAGCACGTACACATGCTAAGCAGTACAAAAATAGGAGGGGTGGGATTCACATCACCTACCTTTAGACTTGGACAACTAACTGTGTCTACGCACTCCTTTTCCGTCAGGGAGGGGAGAAGCAGCCATCTGCAGAGGGTGACTCGCCTCATCCCACCACATGAAAGATCAATCCTGCCCCGAGTTCTAGATAGCGCTCAGCTTGAGTAACCGCATACAAACTGATTTCACGTTAATATTGTGACTCACTGCAAATAATACTCAGTTTGGCTGTGGAATTGAAGTACGATGTGAGTAGAGCGAGCTGCTGAGTGTTATTATGGTCTCCTTTACTGGGAGGTGAGAGCCTCTCCCTTTGGAACAACAGTGATGAGATATAAAAATGAGGATAAAAATTCTAATCTATTTGATTAATTTTGGTGAATTTTTTTTCCCCATTTCTTCGTTTGTCCTGTCAGGTCAGCAGGGCCACAGTGCTTATTATGAAGTGATATGTCTGCATGTGTGCCATGTGTAACAGAAGCTTTCACAGTTGAGATGAGGGTGGGAAGATGTAATTTACTGGCATGCTACTTTTCACGGGAGGTTTTGGCATGGCAAACTTTGGGGTTGTTTGTTTCATCAAGATCTGTTGGTTCTGCATGTGATCAAATATTTTGCAGTGAATATATAACTCAGTGAATACAACTGATATTCAAAGAAAAAAAAATACTATTTGGCACTCCACTCCAGAAGTAAGCAAGCTACGTCTTTGAACAATGAGCGTTCGTTCACTTGTGATTATAAACAGCCATGTTGCTGCATGCCAGGCGGAGCATTTCAACTTAAGCTCCTGGGTCAGCGAGTCTGGGGTATGTTTTTCAAGTCTGTGTGTATGTAAGGCTTAGGCATAGCAATGTAGTGAGCTGTTCTACCTGATTCTTCTGTTCTTGCTCTCAAACAGAACTGACAGTCTTGGTATCCACCGCATACCTACTGCATGCCACGTGCAAGGGATGGTCCGTGACTGTTGGCGCACTGAGATTTCACTGCTGAGGTCCACCAGCAGAAAATGCCCCAAGCCTCATCTCTCTGCAGTTTGCCATTACTCCCTCTTTCTGTTTTGCTCAGCTGAGAAGTCTCCTCTGGAGTTAGGGCTGGCATAAGCTCTTCCTCACCCAGCACGGAAAGCAGGATGCAGATCCCTTTTAGCCAGAACGGGCATTTAGAGCAAGTAAAACATAGTTCCTCTCCTTTTCCTGCGGGAGGGGATTTCAGTTTGCCTCTCCCTCCTTCCCAGCATGCTGTAACTGCTGGGCCACTGGGGACAAGGGGGGCAGGCTCTGGCAGCCCCCTTCCAGCCATGCTCAGGAGGAACCCAATTCAGTACTGTCACAACAGGCCTTTGATTGAGAAATGCCACCAGTCCTGGCGGGATGTGGACTAACCGACCTGCTGAGCTTCTTGCCACTGTTGCTCAGCATGCCCAGCACTTTAAGCTGAAGGAGGGAAGACTTAGACTAGATCCTAGGAAAAAATTCTTCTCTGTGAGGGTGGTGAGGCACTGGAACAGGCTGCCCAGAGACGCTGTGGATGCCCCATCCCTGGAAGCATTTAAAGCCAGGTCGGATGGGGCTTTGGGCAATCTGGGCTAGTGGAGGGGGTCCCTACCCATGGCAGGGGGGGTTGGAATGAGATGATTTTTAAGGTCCCTTCCAACTCAAACTGTTCTGTGATTCTGTGACTTCTAGCATGTAGGGCCAGAGCAAGGGTCAGCTGAATGGTGGCTTTTGAGGAACTCAGACTAATTCTACCAAAACCAGCAGTTGGTTGCCTGAGCTCAGTTGTGGCTCTTGCATATACCACCCAGGCTCAGAGGTGTCCAAGCAGCTTTGTATGGAAGGAAGGAAAACCTGAAACTCAAGGAAGAGCCTCACCCCCTCCCTCTCCCCTGCTCTCTGTCCGCACACACCTCCTCAGGCGGTGCGGCAAGTGGTACTCCAACTCCACGTGCACCTCCTGCTCCCCACTCTGCTGCTCATCAGCGTCAACCTGGTGAGCAGCCATAAGGAAAAGGCCTCCATAAAGAACTCTTGGGTGTTGGAGGCGATACAACTAACGTAACAGAATTTGGTCAGGCTACTGGTTACAGGCTCAGGCTGGGCAAGCACTCATGACAAATGACATACACAGGCTTGCTGGTGAGGTGGGGAATCACCAAGGGACGAGATGAATTCCCCATCTG